CGGTTTGAATAGTGGCTATATCTGTAAACCAAAAAAACGATAGGTTTGCAAGCTGGTGCCAGCCCCATTTTCGATCTCCCTCTGAACCGAAAATGTTTTCGACTATCTTATATCCGAATAGCCTCGAAAGTGAGTTTTCAGACTAAGCTTATCATGATAAACAAGAAAAACGTGGTCTCGAAACTTCAAAATAAAAAGTACGCCCCAAACATTAATTTTATTAAAAGTTTTAGCGTGTTTTTAAAATATTAAAAATTTCATTTTTTCAAATTTCAGATCAAAATCTTGTTCGGTTATTGAATCACCTTACTTGGCAAGAATCCTTCAATCAATCAAAAAACGAATAACCACATAGAAAATAAACGTGTAATTATTGTTGTTATAGCAAAACTTGTTCAAGAAGTGAAATGGAGTGTGAAGAATGAGCTTACTTTAACGGAATGAAGAAAAAAGGAGATAGACGAACAAATACGCAGACTGGAATGTAACGCATTTCATCTAATTTGTCTGTTGGCCACCTCTCATGTTAGTATTAACAAAAGGTGTATAAGAGATCTTGTTTATTCCTAACGTGAAATTGACATCATGAACGTTTTTTAGATTGTGTTCAACTATTTTTAATACGTGCGCATATTTCAGCTGTATATTCTGAACATTTAGATTTGCCTCCTAAATCACCAGTAAGGACCTATAAAATAAAAAGCAAAACAATATCATTAAATGTAAAACGAATTATAAGAAACCATTTCTTAAAAGATATCAGGCGCGTAAGTGTGTATATTTGAGATTGCATTCTCTCTAGGGTGAAAACGTATATGTCTGATTTCTTGCATAACCTATATCGGGAGGACGAAAGAAAATCTTTTTACCTTTCCGTCCTTGATGGTATCAAAACAAGCTTTTTCTATTTTTTCTCCTTTATCAGCCATATGGAGATGTCGAAGCATCATCACCCCACTCAGTAATAGCGCCGTTGGATTTGCTTTATCTTGTCCGGCAATATCCGGCGCTGTACCATGAACCTAACGAAGAATAGAAAGTGATTTGTGATTATCATTTTTTGTGGAAAATATAAAATGTTACAGAATTTAGTAGGAGAGGCCGTAATTAGCCTTTTATTCCGAAATACTTCTTTATTATACCAAGTATGTAAGTTTGACTATTTATGGAGATAACTTAAAAACTAGTCTATGAACTTACTGCTTCAAATATGGCAGCACCGCCTTCCCCAATATTTCCACTCGGTGTGAGCCCCAGTCCTCCAATAAGACCTGCACATAAATCACTCAAAATATCACCATACAAATTTGGCATAACAAGAACATCGAACAGTGTCGGATCTTGAACCATCTTTACGACAAAAAAATTAATTTAATTACGTAATGCAAATAATAATTCATATTTAAAGTCTTACTTTCAAACACACTGTATCTAGATACATCTCCTCAAATTTCACTTCTGGGTGTCTTTCAGCTGTGTCACGACAACAACGCAAAAATAAACCATCGGATAAACGCCTAAACAAAAGTTACCGATGTGAATCATAAATTGTGCTTAAGAAAATTATTTACATGATGTTTGCCTTATGTACTGCTGTTACTTTTTCACGTTTGTGTTGTTTAGCATAGAGAAATGCATATTCGGCAACTCTTGATGATGCATGTTCAGTAATTAACTTAATCGATTGTACAACACCCTTAAAAAAAGTTTATGTCAAATCAAAATGCTATTAAATAAAATATAGTTTAGATGATTTACTTACTGGAACGATGGTATGTTCAATTCCACTATATTCCCCCTCTGTATTTTCTCTTATCGTTACTAAATCAACGTTTGAATAGGGCGTTTGATATCCTTCTAATGTTTTGCATGGTCTCACGTTGGCAAATAAATTAAATTGTTTACGTAATGCAAGATTTAAAGACTGATGACCTTTTCCAACGGCTAAATTGTGAAAAAATAGAATACAATTAGATACTCATTTGAAACGTGAGCAAATATCTCTTCAATCCATACGTGTTGCAAGAGGTCTGAAAAGAGAAAAAGTAAATATAATAATACTACACCATTACTGAGTAGATGTAATATTGTTCATACCCCTTTAATCCAATTCGATTTCGTGTAACGGATTCAATTGCTTTCCGCGGTATTTGAAATTTTCCATTAGCAGCTTTTACTGGGGTAACATCAACAGATTCCCAATTCAATGGCACTCCAGCTGCTTCAAATATTTTTTGAACACTATGTGATATTTCTGGTCCAATTCCATCGCCTACAAAATAATACAACAGATGGATTTTAACGTTTAGATAGAAATGTAAATAAAAAATGTGTATGTACCAGGAATTAAAGTTACGGTTCGAGTTGTATTTTCAGTAGCAGAACTACTAGAATCACTAGCTTGATTTAAATGTGAAGTAGTCGCAAATGTACGTTTATATTGAGCTAACGGACGACACAATGAAGAGTGTAATAAGCGTCCTAAATAATTCGTTACGGGTGGTGACATCGCTTTTATCTACAAAATCAACTGAAAATAAACACTTTATGAAAGTATAAATTTCAGAAGAATTTTGCAAATTTTACATCCGAATTAACAGCAAGACAAACTATAGAATATTTTTTAGTAACTAAGAATATGCAGAAGGAAAAGAGGAAAACAATATTTATTTGTTCATTTCATGGTCTGTATATGTTGATCACTCATTCAGAAGAGGAATTTGCTGTAAAAAACGTTGATTGGTGTATTGATCACAAATAATATTTCAGATAAGTTACTTTTGAAATTGTTCATCAACATCGATTGTGACGAACTGTTTTTATGAAAAAAAAGTTATGACGTTGTTGTTTCAAATGAATGGATCATTATTTTGGAAGCTCACAAAGTATTAATAGGTAAAGTTTCAATCATTTTGTTGTCGAAATTGAGTGATCACGTGAGTGGGCTTGACACCGACCAATAGCATACATTTTTATTTCATTAAGTTTACTTTAATGTAATGATCGACGATCAAAACTTGATATTTCGACCTATTTGTTTGTACAAACTCATTTTGCTTGTCTATAATAAATAATCATCACTCACTCAAAAAAATATTCTTAATATTACTTTCAAGTGATATTAAGAAAGTTCTCCCTCGGAAAATTGTCTTCCTATATATAAAACATTCCGGTTCTGAGCAGATGCGTTGAAGAAGTATTCCTTTAAAGTGTTAGGATAAGTGAAAATCATGATATCTGTCGAGTATCTTGACATAAGACTGTTTTATTCACGAAAAGTGAGAGTCATTTTAGGTCACCGACCCGTAATAACAATGACTCAGGCCGATTGTCTTATATGGACATATTTTGGAAAGGCTTATTTTGAAGCATGAAAAATTATCTATCTTTCTGTGTATGAGTTTTGGTCAAAGACTTTGAGGAAGAAAATGAACGACCTTTATTAAAATGATAACGAAAAATAATAAGAGTTTTTTTTTAGAAGACTACGAACACTTTTTGAAAGCCAGAGGTGAAATAGGTCATTTTCGATCATATTGGGCCATTTTCTTACAGAAACCATTTCTCCTCCTTGTGCAATTAAGAGAATGTAAAAAATGACTATTCTCAAGCATAACATGCTCTACTTGTTTATTTAAAATAGAATGTTACTCTTATTTTTATATGTTTGCTGTGAATGCGGATATCTAGCTGTCAATCAAATAAACACAAGTGAATGATCCATATTAATGATTGAAACTTTAAATGTTTCAATAAGTGTTTGCTTACTATTAATTATCTTACCTGTGTGAGCTGCGGTACCTGTTAGGATACCTTATCTCACACAATTGTTTTAGTTATTAACTAGCAGTTTTTCTAATGATTGATGAATCAAGTAAAAGCAAAGTGAAGTATATCTGAATCAATATCAACTATTTACCATTTCAGATTTTAAAAATAAAAAAAAAATGGTCCATTTTGTCTATAAATATCGTATTTCTCTCTAGATAATATGGATAGTAATTAACACCCGACGAGATACCATGTTCTAAAGTTTACGCTCAGCTAAGAACTGATACTCTGACGGCATTCTTGTTTATTCTATAAATTGTGAGTTATAACAAACTACATAAATCTAGAAGTTTTTTTAGCCTAAAGCATATCTTTTATAGAAATTAACCATTCTGAAAACTTTGGACACATACAAAAGTTTTCATTCAGTTTTGTAATCAAAATTCAAGGTCTTTTCACACGCTACAGCGCTCAATTTACAACTTAACGAAACAAAAAGTTAACAGATTGAAGAAATCTTAACGATTACTTTGTAAAAAAAGAACTGTAGAATATGAGTATCATAACAATTGTACTTACCCATCTCGATAGTTAATAGAATTACATAGAACGATTGTCGTTTTATTGTATTTGCTTTATTAATTCTGTCACTAAATAGATATTCTATATTCCAGATTGGTTTTCATACGTCAATTATGAGTTGAAATTTTATAATTGAAATATAGACAATGTTACTGACAACGCCTTCATCTTCATCCAATAGTGAATCTAAATCACAATTGTTTAATACTACTGATTGCTCACAAGATGAAATTGAACGAGCGATCACCGAGTTTTATTCAGGAACATTTTCCTCTACCATCTCTAGACAACAATTGA